CATTTCAGGGTCATCCCTATAAGCCTCAATTATAGTATTGCATAAGTATAGGGAGATTGGTAAATAGCATTCAGGTTGGAAGAATGCCAGACGGACCAAATTTTACTTCCTGTATTTACAAAAATGCAACTTTGTAACAAGAGGTACCACATTCTCTGTTTTTCCCCAATATACTGATCCTAGTATAGCCTCTTATAGAGTCCCCTATAATTAATCTGAGCTGATTAAATCCATTCTTCCAGTCTGTAATAGAAAAAATCAAGACTTTTTCATTTTCATGGGATTATCCTCTCAATCATCTTTAAATTCTGTTTCTGATTATATTTGCAGGTATTTCTTTTGGTAGAGCCTGTTGCAGGTCCCATTTACAGTTTATGCTGTATTTTCATTCCATACTGTACTTTGGTTAACAAAATACATCACCCTCTTACCCCATCAAACTGTTGGAGGGTATTTTAAGGAGTAGTTTATGACTTGGTAACCAATCATATTTTTTTTTTTTTTAAAGAAGAAACCATCATGACACTAAAAATTCCTGAAATCTGAGAACTGTGCTCTGTTTCTAAAAAGTCCTTTTATATTTGTCAAATAAATCACAATATTTATAGATCTTTATTTTGTTTCAGTATGCATACAAGATATTCATTAGGAATGAGAAAGAATACCTTATTTATTTGCTTTCCACACACATCTACTGAAGAGATGACTTTTTTCCTTTTCCTTTCAAATTTATCAGTAACAGTGACTAAATGAAGGCTGAATAAATGACCCCATCTGTACAAATTTCTGGTAGTCTTGATGTCACAAGACTACAGCTCTGACTCCATCTATCACAGCTATTTTCCAGGCAATAATACGGCTTGGGTCAGCCCTGCTAGCACCCAACCACCAGATACACAAATAAGGAATCCTATACAACACCTCTCAACCACATACTGTGGCCTATACTTAGTAATCCCCATCTGCAAGGAAGGTTATGAAATGAAATTTTTCGCTAGGCACGAAATCAGATTTCTATTACTAAGAGAGAAGGGAAGAAAGGAAATAGGATAGGCAACTAGCATTATCTGCCTCATTTTCTTTTTTAGCATATGTTTCCTCAGATGAACTATGAGGTCATAGAAGGCTGAAATTATGTCATATTAATTTTTGTAATCTCAGAACCTAGCACAATACCATAGTTTATTGTTTTTTTAAATGTTTATTAGTTAAAGACTAGATCAAAGACAAGTATGACAGGTGAGTAAGTGGCATTAGTTTGTTCCATTTATATTGTCACTCATTCACTTAATTATTATGTCAACTAGTATTAATTGAGCTCCCAGTCTGAGCCAGGTCCTCTATCAAGCAGTGATATTTACAGTGATAAACACAACATAGTCCCTAGCTTTACGAAGCTGGTGGAGGTAAAGCTAGAGGAGGTTGGGGATGGCTCTAAAAGTAACAGGCAATTTCCAGGTTACGGGGTAAGAGAATGAGAAGTGGTCCTGAGACACTGTTTGAGAGGTAATGAAGCTGTAAGTAGTCTGGGTGAGCACAGAGTGGTGAAAGAAGTAGAGAAAAAAGAAGGAAAGATAGAGGGCTAGGTAATAAAGACACTTATGTTATAGTCATAAGTCCGTAATTTATCTCTACCAATACACATACCTATTTCTTGTGAGAAAATGTTTGTTTCTCCCTTAGACTTCCTCATGAAAGAATTTCCAAACACTTTGCTCTTGATGGATCTGACCCACTGATAAACTTCTTGGCTGGCCTGAACTGTAGTCACAACTGTGTTCCATGGACCTTCTCCAAGCATGAAGGAACTGTCTTCCCAGCATCCCATCTTACAAGTTGATGTTCCCTGGTGGACCAGTTTGGGAAATTTTGGTCTAGACAGGTATTTCTCAAACTTGGCAATATGACTCCAATGGACACCATAAAAAAGAGTTGCTGGGGATTTCCAGAAAAAGAGGCTGATCCCCAGAAACTGCACATGTGAGCCTGGTCTTCTTAGTGTGTTAACACTTTGGATTTCAGTTCTATGAGTCACCAGATGGGTATAGGTTTAGTGGAACTAACAGCACACCACTTCAGCAATCTTGCAGTCAAATAAGTTGTCCCTATGACGATTTGACTAGTAATTCAAACACTGTTATCTCTTCCCAGAAGTAATCCAATTCAGTTCAGTTTGTGACATATACATATATATATATATACATATACAGCTAGAAATGCACCTACATCAATTTCGATTTTCTTTGCCTACGTTAGAGAAAAAGATAGGCCCTAACCATGAAGATCACAAGAAGAGAGATCTGAAGATGATATGCTATTGGCCTTAAAGATGCAGGAAGAGGCCACAAGCCAAGGAAAGCATGTAGCATAGAAGATAGAAAAAGCAGAGATGGATTCTCCCCCAGAGGCTCCAGATGGGACACAACCCACACCTTGATTTTAGAATTTCTGACTTCCAGAACTATAAAATCACACATTCTTGGTTCTAGCTACCAAGGCTGTGGTAACTATTCACAGTTAGCAATGGGAAAGTAATACCGATAGTAATATACCTCCAGACACTATCCCTCCACCCCCTCATTCCCAACAGCACTCTACATTAAGACTCTCTCTTGGGATTCTCTTCTCTTCTCAATCTATCCTCTCAAACTGTTTTCCTGAAAATCAAATCTGATTATGTCACAGGGCTTGAAATACATGAATACTCACTAATTCTAGTTAGGTTACTTCTGAGAATATAATTAGAAACCAGAAATAAGGGTTGTTTACAAATCCTGTCAAGGACATTTGGTGTGATCTCAGGAAGGCTTAACAGAGATGTGATTACAGCTAAGAAAGCTGAAAACAAATTGCACTATACACTGGAGAAAGAATGCATTAACCACGGGGGGTTGAGGCAGAGAAGAGATTTTTCTGGGTTTATTCAGGACTGGACAGAGGTAAATTCACTGACTTTGGCAGCCATCAGGAGGCACATTCTTGTTTGGAGGTGGGGATACCTTACCAGGTACCTGGATCCTAGTAAGTGCTTATCCTAAACAGAGGTCATGGGTATACTATCATAGTAAATTTCATCCTGATATAAATTCTAGTCATGAAAACTGGTTGCCATAAGTCAGTCCACTGTTCACCTCTGGACACACGATAAAACTGAGGTCAAGACCCTCCCTACTGGTGACCAACCGAAACTACTAGATCGAGGTTCTTCTACTTCCCACTGTCCCCTCAGAAAGTTAAAAGATATGTTCTTCCGTAAGATCCTGAATCCTAGTTTAACAATAGCCACACTCCTGCCATCCATCACTCAAGACCTGTTTGAGGGTCCCTATTTCAAGACCTCCACAAAAGAGGGATGACTATCAACAACAACAGCAACAACGAAAAAAGGGAGGAAAGTTCTAAGAAGGAAGGGGAGGTCAAAATTGGCAAATGCCACAACCGGCATGACAAAAGGGGGATTAAATTTTTCCATTAGATTTGGCAATTAGGTGGGTGACTGATGTTGTTCAGTGGAGTGAAAGGTTGACAAGGGAATGAGCGCTTAGGCAATGTTAACATTAAGGCTGGAAAAGTCCTCTGAGAAGAGGATCCATGCCCTACAGAATCACCTTAAATAAAATTCCCCTCAGGTTTTGCATTTGAATCATAGAGAACTCTTCTTGTCCCCAAATCCTCCAAACCTTAATCAGCCACATTTAAGTCCTACTATCCCACTCTTCTCTCCTCAGTTCACCTCGAACTTAAAGGAACTAATGAGCTGTGCAATAACTAAAGGTCAAAAAACAAGAGGAAGAAACAAAAGGCCCACAAACAAACTCAAATCAAAACAAATCAGGCCCTCAGTAAGCTGAGCTGTAACAAGTTGTGCTTCAAATTTACTATCCCTGTTTTGATTAAAAAAACAAAAACAAAAACAAAACAGTGTCTGGAGAATTAAAAGGGGTATTTTATAAGTGGTTTTTTTTGGTGTGTGTTTTTTTTTGTTTTTGCTTTTGCTTTTTTTTTTTTTGGTATCTCATCCATTATCTTCACTCCATCTCCCCCCAAATTAATAGCTGTTGCTGTGTGTGAGCACAAGCCTGGACCCAAAACCCAATTTTGTCCAGTGGGTAGAGTAATTGCGTTCCATTAAAAAAAAAAAAAAAAAAAAAAAGAAAGGAAAAAAAGGTGGAATAGGGAGAACAACATACATATCTACATTTTCGGATGAAAGCACTGGTTTTCTTTCTCGACTGCTCGCTGTATTTAATGGGGGGAGGGGAGGACAATTTTCTGAATCTGAGCCCATTTCTTTCTAAACTTGGTTACTCACGTCTGATTCATTCGCTGTGTGTTTCCTCTCCTGTCTCTGTCACTGCCTGCTGCTGAGAAGGGGGGTCGCTGAATCACTGCCACTCCAGATGAAAAGCAATTCAAACCCAGTTCTTGGGGGGATGGAAGAGCTTTTTTTTTTTTTCTTTCCTTCTTTTCCTTTCTTAAGCGTCTGCAGAAAAAAGCCGCCTACTTTCCGGGATGACCGTAGAGGGCAGTTTTACAAGTCTCACCCCGGGCTATGGAAGACTGGGCTCCGGTGAGAGTCGGGAGGCACCGGTCACCTCACCATTTCGGGCTTTCCGGTCCACAGGCCTCGGCGGTCTGGGGCGTGTGCTGGAACGCACGGCGGCGGGGCCGTGCTAGGGGCTCCGGGGAGAGCTCGGCCCCGTCGGCCCGAGCGGCCGGGCCCGTTCCCCGCCGCTTTAAAAGCTCCCACAATGCAGCGCTGGCGTCCCAGTTCCGTTACAATGTCTCTCAGGGCGCCGGCGAACCGGCGAGGCGCGGGCGGGGAAGCCGGGGAGCCGCGGCTGTAACCCGAGCGCCCGGCCGAGGGGGGCGCCCCCGCGCCGCTCCTCTCGCGCGCTCTGCCCGCGGCCCGGCAAAGGGGCGGAGCCGCTCGGCCGCCCGAGCCCGGCCCGGCCCCCAGTCCGGCCCCCAGTCCGGCCCCCAGCCCAGAGGCACCGGCCGCAAGAGCGAGCCGGACGCCAACTCCGCCGTCCGGCGCAGCGCCCGCCGCCGCGCTCCTCGCTGAGCCTCGCTGGACCGCCCGCGGCAGCGGCGGCGGCGCTGGGGGCGGCTCCTGCGGGCGGCGCGGCCCCTGCCCGCGCGCTAGCACCCCGCGGCAGCCCCACCAGGGGCGGCCACATTCACCTAGCGCCGGCCGGGAGGTGCGCGGAGAGGGCGCGCCGGGAGCCAGGGCCTCCCGCCAGTGCGGGGCGCGGGGCCCGCCGAGTGCGGCGGAGGCAGGCGCGCCGCGCGGTGCGGCCAGGACAGGCGCTGGGCGGCCGCGGAGCTCCGGACGCCGGCACGTCCCCAGCGCCCCGGCCGGCCCCGCCGGGCGGCCTGCGGGGGCGGCGCAGTTGCGAAACTGAGTAAGTATTAACTTTACTCGACCGCCGCGATTTCTGGGCAGCGCCTGCGACCCCTCCCTCCTCCTCCTGGAGCCTTCGGGCTCCCCCTTCCCCGCCCCCTCGCCCCTCTGTCTACACCTTGGGTTTCTTCGCCGGTTCTGCCCTCCGGCCGCGGGCTCCCTGTTCCTCCGGTTCACCTTTCTCCCCGTTGTGTTCGCCTTTGCGCGTTCTCCCCGCAGCACACACGCGCCTCTGATTGAGAAGTGCAGGCTTGTGCCCTGCTTCTCGGTTTCCTCCCAGTGTCCTTGGCAGGGGAGTTTAGAGGCCACTTTTGTTGGCCAGGGAAACGTATGTATGGCTTCTTTAGCATTTTTCTCTCCAAATGGAAATCGGATGCTCGCTGCCCGGATGGCGGTTTGGTGAACGCTTACTTTCTCCTCTGAAAATACGGTTGGTTTTTAGGTTTTAAAATTGTGTGAACGCTTAACTATCATCCTCGGTCCCTGTTTTCCCTTGCCGCCAACCCGTCTGGGGAGGGCAGTCCAAAACAGGGGACTTTCAAAGTAATTCCGTTTTGCAGATTAGAAACTTTGCGAGGGTACATCGCGGAAAGCTTAATAATCTTCAACCTGAAGGGACGTGAGCTTTGAATGTGGGTCCTTGTGCGGCACTGGAGCCTACAAGCTGAGTACCTGGGTTCGTAATCGAGTGTTGCGTTGTTATTTTAGCATCGTAGAGCCGCCTGGTGTTGCTAAACCACTACTTTTTCAGCATCAGATGGCATCTTGAGCAGTGCAAGCGTTGAATGTAATTACGGGTCAGTATTGCCCCTGATCTTCAGGGATTTAGAAGGGAAATAGACGCAGGGCACATTTCCTAGCTGACTTAAACCTATCAGGCTAGCTGTGTCAGTACATCAAAGCCTTGCATTAAAAAAAAAAAAAATCTTTCACCCTGGTAACAGCGAGGGGGAACATTTACGGATTTTCCAGTATGATGTGGCTCAGCAATTCCTCATTAGATCTGTTGTGTCGCCAGAAAGGACCTTTAAATATGTATAGAGCCCTGCTTTTTTGCCCATTGGATTAACCCCTCATTCTGGTAGAAGGCCTCAGGTAGATCCCCCGCCCCCCCCTTTTTAAAAAAAAGTCTTTCATCTTTGGGTTGCCAGGAGTTTGGCCATCCTGTTCTGAAGGAATAGAAAATGGGGAGCTTTCTTAATGGATTTTCAGCAACCTGCCCTTTGCCTGGGTGAGGCAGTAGGGAATGCCTGCCAGACCTCTGCAGGGAGAAGTGCCAGGCGGGCACAAGAATCAGGAGGAAGGACACGGTAGTACTATCATTTTGGAGGTTGGTGTGTATGCGTGTTTATCTTTCAGTGGGCATACTAATGCTACTTTTTAAAATTTTATCTCCATGTCAAACTCTCCCCAAACCATGAAAGCTCCCTATATCCCATTTAAGAAGCCTGAATGTAATTTGATGATTATGTTGAAGGATCAGATCACACCTACAAAAATATAATTTGTAATGTAGGTGATGAAACCTTTCTAAAATCTCCCCTTTCCTCATTTTCCTCCCTTTTAAGAGCCTCAAGCTGGTACTTTCAGTAATAGACACAGTTGTTAGTAATACACTGAGTTCTTTTTAGGTTCATTAATCAAGCCTAATTTCTGGGCTTCGGTAGCTGAGAGGGACATGAGCCCAGAGAGTGAGAGAATCATGAGACTCTGCAGATAGGGAAGGCATTTCAGTTTGCTAAAGTGTCATTGTGTTACAGGGAAAAGCTTTTAAAAAGAAAAGGATGTTTAGGTTGTTTTTAGCATGCATGTTTGCTGAATTTGGCATTTGGTGGAGATATTTGGGAATTGCAGATATTAAATTCTACACAATGGTGGTATAATTTCTTTTTTGCCTAACATTTTGTTCTTTTAAAATTTTGATTTTTTAAAAAAGATTTTATTTACTTAACAGAGAGAGAGACAGAGACAGTGAGAGAGGGAACACAAGCAAGGGGAGAGAGAGAGGAAGAATTCTCGAAGGCTTCCCGCTGAGCAGGGAGCCTGATGCAGGACTCGATCCCAGGACCCTGGGATCATGACTTGAGCCGAAGGCAGAAGCTTAACGACTGAGCCACCCAGGCGCCCCAAGATTTTGATTTTTTAAGGGGAGTCTCAGTTCTTAGCTTTTGTAGCCTTCCATACTGGCTTACATTAATTCTTGACTTGAACACCTTAGTGTTTTTGAGAAGTAGTTGTTCAGAATTTGTTGCTCAGTCAATCTATCTTATGTTAATATATGTATGTCTTGAGAGTAGAAATGTTGTTTGCTGCTGGGTATTGCTGCTTTTTTCATTATGGTTCATTCTGGACATGGTGGCTTTGCTCCTTTACTGTAAAACATTGAGGTCGTGGATATCTTGCTGGTGTTCAAAACATTGCAAAACTCTGCAGATAGAAGTGGATTGGGATTGGGAGTGGTATAGGAAAATATTATGCATTACAAATCTGAGAATTTGGATTTAAAAAATAACGTATCACCTATTTACTCTTCTTGGGCGCTAGCTTGCTCCAACCCTAAATAAATTTCAAAATGCAAAGTGTCGAAGTAGTTCCTAAGAACTGGGTATAGTGGAAAGAAACCTTACTTCACAGCTAGCCAACCAGACTTGGGTGGCAAATGTGACTTTGTCACTTTGAACTGAATGAGTTCAACATGCTACTTCAACATCATGATCTACAGTTTGCTTTCTGTAAAATGGGGATACTGCTACTAAAAGGGATGCTGTGACAAGTAGAAATCTAATATAACGTCTGGTACATCGTAGCCAATAAATGGCATTGTCTCACACTCCTTCAGAACTGAGCTCTTGATTACCCAACCTTTCAAACAGTTCCTCCTCTGTTTTCCATCTCATCCATCTAACAGGTGGCTCAGGCCAGAAGGCTGGAGTTTATCCTTCATTCTCTCTTCTGCTCTTTCACTCCTCCCCCCCACCCACCAGTTTGTAAAAAAATCCTTATTTACTCTTATGGAAAAATCTCTTTCAAATCTGTCTGATTTTCAGTCTCCACTATGCTTCCATTCTGCTTGAAGCCATCATTATCTTTCTCCGTTGCCTTCTGCACATATACTGTACCCCTTCCAGTTCCTTTTCCCACCAGCAACCTAAAAAGAAAACAAGTCACTTGATATTTAAAGTCTTCAAAGCTTTTAGGAAACACATTTATTTCTCCAGATAAAATATGAAATTTTCAACATACCTGTAAGGTCCTGCATGATTTGACCAGTGCCCCCCCATCTTCATCCTTTGTAAGCCACATTGTCCAGTCCTCCAGCAGGGCTCTTGCTCATGCTATTGGTCTCTATTTTAGGACCATCTCCTTGAGTAATTTGTCATCCTTGGGTATAAATTCATGTATCATCTGTATAAATGTCTTATCACCCTTATCATCGTGTAACTTAGAATCCCTTTATTTTCTCCCTCATAGAGCAATCACCTTTCCTTTTTAATGTTTGCCATAACTTATAACTATGTATTATTCAACTACTTAATGTTTCTCTCTTGCCCTCTAGGGCAGAAATAATGCCTGGTTTATTTGCTAGTCTATACTCAGTGCCTAGTGCATTTAGTAGGTGCTCAATAAATGGCTACTAGTATAATGAATAAGATAATAACATTAGTTTTGTCTTTATATCTTGATTGCCATCTTTATCGCTGTTCAGTCTGCTTTTCATAACAAAAGCCAGACTGACACTCTCCTATTTTTCCTCCTTGCTGGTGTTATGTATAATATGAAATAGCCTTTGCAGATACCAGGTAAAATTAATGCACTTGGGCTCTGTGGAACATTCAGAAAATAAATTGAGACACCTTTTAACTAGTGTTACCCTTGTGATTTTCTTTTGTAGATAATCCTTTTTCTGAGTACATCATTAAAGTAATTATGGTGGTTTTTTTTTTCATCAGCACAGGATTACTGAAAGAAAAAAATCTTACTATGTCATATTATTTTACATGTGTCATATGATAATACATTAGTCATCAGCTGTTGATCACTCAGTGCCACATTTCAAAGGAAGGTAGAGAAAACTAGTAGAGAAATGAGCATTATAGTTCTAAGGATGTTTAGTACTGTCCAGTTGTTGATGTGACTTGCATAAATAACTAGGTATCATTCGAACACTTAGTTAAGGTAGCAGAGTGGTTGTTTAAAAATTGGAGCCATCTAGAGGCCTGGAAATTCTTTTTCCTTCTTTAACTAAAGCATTCCTTCTTTTAGCCAAAAAAGTCTCATGACTTCCCAAGGCCAAGGAAGGCTTAAACCTTGTTTGAGTGTTTTGTCATGTGGTTAGTCTTTACAAATTATTAGTTTGATGCACTATAGCCCCGAACTATTTATGTTCTTCTTATTTCTAGTCTCTAATTCTTACATAATCACACACGTTTTCTTTTGACTTGTTTCTTAGGGCTTGAGTTTCCTTTTCGAATTTTCCCTTTTACCCTTAGAGTATAATTCCAGTTCCTTTCTAGTTTTGTATTTTGTATGTAATAAGGTATACAGAGAATTTAGGAGTCAGTTCTAGTTCTTTCATGATTTATTTGTTTGCACTTAACCTCTGGGTTTCTCCTGAATGTTATGCCTCATAAGTGGTCTGGACTGAGTTTTTGTCAGCGAAAAGCTGGATGCCCTTGGGTTTGGAGAGCAGGGAAGATTAAAAAAGCATTTTTAAGTCCTTATTATGTGCCAAGCTCTGGACTAAGTGCTTTCACAAGAGAAGAATGAGTAGTTCACCTGATGAAAATCATAAAAAGGAACCTTCAGCTTTTTATGTATTTGTTTTACTCAAGGAAATGGTTCTTGTTGTTCCCGTTTACCCACCCTTTATTTTCTAGTTGGGAAGGTATGGTAAGATAGAGAAGCCCTCCCTAGCCCATCCCATTACCTTAGCTTTTTATTTGTTTAGACCTGATTTTACTTGTATAAAAATATTGGCAGTGGGGCCCGGGAGGGGCATGA